CAGAAAAAATATGTTATCGATGAAATGGCAACAAATCGCCAAATAACGGTACTACGGTTACCACCTTATCACTGTGAACTTAACCCAATCGAATTAGTCTGGGCGCAGGTAAAAGGAGATGTAGCGCGAAATAATACGACGTTTAAATTAAGTGACGTGAAAATTTTGTTAAAAAATTCCTTGGAACGAGTAACTGCAGATAACTGGCAAAGATGTATACATCATGTACAAAAAGAAGAGGAGAAAATGTGGGAACTCGATAATTTAATTGACGTTACTGTGGAACCTATCGTTATCAATCTAGGAGACGAAGATAATTCATCAGAATATTCAGAGGATGAATTTTAATATACCTACTTTTTTATTTTCTTTATTGTACATTTATACAACACTACATTTACTCACCATAATTTGAATTTTCAAAATACATATATTTTTGTGTGGAATAAAAGTCTATTCATTAAATTTAAATAAATATTTTGATAATAATATTGAATAATTTTATTTGAATTACTAAAAACCCTCTTAACCCGGTTATGATGCTTAAAGTAGCCTCATGTTTTGAAATGCTGTTTTTATATTGTTTACTTATAAGAGAAATGGACCGAGAAATTGAAGCGGCATAGACAAAGACGGATTGTCGGGGATTAAATTTTAGCTACCTGCTACAATTTAGTATAGTCCGATCGCACAAAGTTTTGTTAAAAGTAGATCTCATCTATACGGAAAATACATAATATAAAAATATTGAATATAAGCACCAGTACTACATTTATTTACGATTTGCATACATAATGAGCCTTTATTACTCTCTTTCATTTCTAAACAGACTATAGTTACCGTTATTTTTTTGGTTTTTATTAATAACGTTTTTATTTTGCGACTTAAAAATCTGAAATTTACACAGACGCGTAATTACCTTTCGATCCCTTTTTACCGAATTTCGATATCTTTACTTGGGCAGAAGATATGACTTTATAATATTGCAATAAGCCGCCATTTTGAAATTGGGGGTTCCGATTGCGAGTATTTGTTGAGCACTCCAACAGCTATATTTCCTTGTAGTTTCACTCAATTTCAGTCAAATTTGTCCTTTTTATTTAATTTGTACATTTTTTTTCCCCGAAAATTTTGTTATGTAAAAAAATTTTTGCGAGCTTTCGCAAAAGCCCTTTCCTTGTGGCAAATTTCCTCGGGAACAAAATTGGTAAGTATGCCTCATAGCAATTAGAGGCTTATTTTTGGAGGTATAAGCGAAAAACTGAAAAAAGAGCAATTATTTTTTTTCTTTTGTTATAAACAATATAACGCTCGACCTCTACAAATACACACAAATTTAGGCTTTTATTTTTACTTAATTTTAAGCCCATACAATTCGAGTTAGGCCCGATTTTTGAAAGAGGCATATCTTTGTTCTAATTTTATTGTATATGGTGGAATTTAATAAATTTTCTAATCTTAAGATTTTCTATATTATGAAATTAAAATATGGATTAAGTTAAGATGAGTGCATAATTTAATTTTAATTCGCTTATAAAGCTAGTTACATTTTTTAAACTAGAAACTAGATTTGAATCTAGAATACTTTGTAAATAATTTTCTTGACGCATAACTTGGTACACTAGCAGTTGATTGGTTGGAACACCTAACCTAATCCAACCTAATCTTCCATGTAGTCAGCGGTTTAGAAAATGTGAAAAAGTAGTAATAGCTCCAAAAATATTTATAATTTTAAAAAAAATCACTTTTGTTCCATTTCCTTAAAACATGTATATTTGAAGGGTTTTTAAAATATCTGACTTTATTGAAATAATTATGCGTTACTTTATGAACCAGCTGTATATTTTCCTTTTCGTTGTATCGAATTCATCGATACATTTCGAATAAATTCGATTTTTCTGAATCTTCTACGTAAACAAACATCCATTAGCCTTGTATACAATTTCAACGATATACAAGAACCGAACATTAAAATGTAAAGTATATATCCAAAGCCGAAAGAAGTCCGTTTACAAAATAACTTCCTTTTAAGAAAGCCTATATTTTGAAAGTATAATTTAATCCTCGATTCCGGGATAAGCCATCGGGTAAGGACGATGTCGGATACAGAGAACGATCGAATACCTGAAGCAAGACTTTAATAAAAAGACGGGCTGGTATATTTCAGCATTTTTTAGATTCCGATTGGCTATCAGGTTGATCTGAGGGTTTTAATTTATCGAAATCTTCCACGTAAGAACCCGTTTGGCGTTTTCCTGGATCAAAGGAGGATCATATAGCCATGTAACGTGAGCAGTTAAAGTACACTAATGAAAGCGTGGTAGGGTTGAGGGGGAAATATATTTTGTCCAACAATTATCTTTTAAATTAAATTTCTCTGGCTGTATGGCATGTAGCAGGGTCTTGTTGAAACAACATGTCGTCTACATACATATTTTGCAATTTAGGCACAAAAAACTGGATTGTCATGGCTCGATAGAAGCATCATCGTTTGTTATTACCTTATCAGCCCAAAATCCGCACCAAACAGTGAGACGATATGGATAGATTTGTTTCTCAACAATCACTGGTGGATTTTGTGAACCCCAAATACGACAATTTTGTCAATTGACGAAGCTGTCAAGATGAAATTGAGCCTTATCACTGAAGACGATTTTGCAGTGGCGACTCGTGACACATTGTGAATAGATGAGGCCCGAGGCTTTTTTACGAGGGAGCAAGAAAGAAAAAAAAGCGCAGCAGGCAATAATTACTGAATTTTCAAGGTCAAACGATTAAATTAATCCAAGAAATTTTTAGTTGCATTTAATGCGCTTAAGACACAAAAAGTTTCTTTTTACCGAGACTCTTGTTGCAGGAATTGTTAAAACTGGGCAAACAATTTTTATGTTTCCGAAAATACCATGTTAAATTCCTTGTATAATATTTCCATCGTCTTTTGAACTTCTAAATTACGAAATTGTTCGTCTCTGTACAAAATATTAAGTTCGTTTTTCAACCTATCTATTTCAAAAACGTTTGGATACATTTATAATAAAAATTTTGTGGGGAAATTTGTTTGCATATTAGGGAAACCTTAAGGAATTTATTAAAGAAAAAAAAATTAAATCATATAAATTCCCAAAACGAGTAGGTACTTAATTAAAGGGAAAATATTTTTAATTCGTCGCAACTTATTATATTACATTTGATAATATAATAAATATCTATTAAATTACGTTAAATTTAGTTCTACTTTGTTTTATTGTCAGGAAGTTTTTTATTTACTTTTTGTTTTATTTAATTAACACATGCTTTGTTCTTATCCTTAAAGCCTTTGTACTATCCCTCACACTGACATCAGACACTACCCGCGTACTATGCGACGCGCGCATTAACCGCGAACTGAAACTATAAGCAGCTTTGAGCGAGCATTAATTCCCTTGTAAATCACGTTATTTTAACCGCCTCGCATGGAGGGGGAACTGTTGTACCATATTGTAGGCAAGTGTGACGCGCTTACAAGCAAAGAAATTCTGGCCTAACTGTGGTGGGGACTAGTGGGGAGTAACAGTTTCCAATGCCGTGCCGGCATTCAAACAATTATTTTATACTGTTATTTTGATTTTTGATAAATGTAATAGTTAACTGAAAATTAGTTTACTTAATTGTTTATTTAGGTTAATAGTAGAATAGTAGGTATTAAAATATACGGTGTGAAAGCCAAATTTTACAGCGAGGCCTGGCCTCAGCGATTTTGTTCTAAAAATCTACTTATTTTTGTTCCAAAATCCATTCAACGAACTCTCTTCACTCTGCATGATCAGTAGGCTTCAGTTCTTGAGTCAATTGAACTTTGTAAGCATACCTATATGTAGATGCAAATCTTTCGTGAGAGTTTCTCGAATTGCCGAATTGATGTTTCTGGACTCTCAACAACTCTCACGACTTGCTTTGATATTTTATGTTGAACGACTTGTTGAAGGACAGCCAGAGTGTTTAAGAGCCTTGCGTTTGTTATTGTTAATTCCTACTATTGTTAAATATAATAAGTAAATGTTAATTAGTGTTTTAATTAACGGAAAATGAACTTACTGTTAAACTTTTTGTCCATTGATTTGTAAACACATTTGGATTTTGTCATTAAACAATTTCGATTCTACATTGCTGTACCCCATTTTGAACAATTGCAACACTTATGTAAACAGCGATCCAGGGTAATAAGAGCACTATGAAAACCACAGTAATACTGAACAAGTGCATACCAGAAGGGTGCGCCCAAAACACTTAAGACACAAGAATTCCATTTAAAATAATTGGTTTGGTATAAATTTTATCTCAAACATTATTTTGTATTATCGAAATTATTGGAATTATACATATAGCAATTCGTCTTAAAGGGATATTTTGTTGTACAATAGATTTTTACAATAAAAAAAGTCTTCGCTGGCCCCTCTTAAATACAGTGTCCAGATAAGGTTTGGAAACAAAAGGGTCGGGCGTATATAGGGTTTTATTTTTCTTTATACTTCTGAGATGAATCTCGCGGGGATACGAAGTAATCAAATAGCGGATATTTACCGAAGCTCAATTTCCAGCTATATTCCGCAAGATGATCAAGACAAATATTAGTTTTTGATTGTATTCGAGGTTGTCTTATTATTGTTAGCGGAGAATAATTTTGTTATACGCTGTGTAGGTACTTTAGTCTGAATTGAATAATAGTTAGGTATTGTTCATGTCTGTTAATTAAGTTGTCATGTACTGCCTATGGAATCGTGTGTATATTTAAGTCACTGTAGTTTCAAATACCGTATAACATGGTAAAATACCATTGCAGTGCAATAGTTGACAAATAATGTTTTGTTATTATTATTTTTATACAAGACTTTAACAAAGTGCGAGTCCCATGTGATCACAAGTGATAGGCAACCAAACTTACAGTATTGGCAATGATTAACACAAAATTCCCTTAATTAATATAAATGTTTGTCATGTAATATAAATTTATTATTTTGCAGGGCTGCTGTTCGAAAATGGATCTTGGTATATGAATATATGAGTTTTCAAAATCTGGCTTCCAATTTATTAAGGTAGGTAAGATGAATATGTTTGTTTAATTAAATATTGTAGGAAATATAAGATAATTACTGAATTTTGTAGAACGTAAGATTTCTCTCTTAATTTTGATTAGGCTTCAAAACAGTCATAATTGCAAAAAACTTAGGAGAAATTTTACTTAAATCGCACTCAATGTCGTCTCCCTTTGTTAATATTTGTATAATTTGTTGTTGTTGTATTGTTATTGGTAAAATTATTACGTTTTACTTTATTGTGAGCATTTTATTTGTTTTGTCAATTCATCTTCATAGTAGTTAAAAGAACCACATCTTCACTATTTGAATACAGGGTGTGGTTGCCGATGTTATTTTGTGAAAAAAAGTTCATATAAACGTTAAGTCGAAATATGCTACATTTCCGAGATATAGTGTCTTTTTAATTTTTTATTTATCTTTATTAATTATTTCAGAGTTTTAAAGATATTGACTCGAAATTTGAAAAACGCTTTGGAAGGAAAAATGTGCATTTTCCGAATATTTCTACTTGCACCAGTGACGTTCGTGTGAGAATTCCACAACCTTTTTTAATACAAAAAATGGTACGCCACTGACTTTTTCCCATTTTGATATTTTTTTAGTATTCCGCCATCAATTCTGAATGAAATTGGTCACTTCAATTTGTTTGTAGGAAGCACCGTTTTTGAGGAAAAAAATAAAACATATTTTATTGTAGGTTTTGTTAATCTTTTATTTATAGGTCTCTTTTATTATGGTCAAAGAATTCAACATTGAAAATAAAAAGTTGATATGACTGTGGGTAAAAAATTCTTCGATTTTGAGATACAGGATGTTCAAAACTCTTTGAAATAATTAATGAAAAAAAATAAAATATTAAAATTTAAACACTCTATATCTCGACCTATATTGATATGACCTTTTTTCACAAAATAACTTCGTCAACCATCCCTTAAAATATTTCGCACTTATCTACAAACATCCTGTATAATAAATGCAATGAAATTCTTTTTGTCGAATATTTATATGCATATTCAAAGGTGTTATTACAAGAATTATGTATTAATTAATTTTCTTGTAATTTGGAAGGAGAATAGTCCAATTAACGAACTGTTTGGAAAACTGTGCTGTTAGCAATGAAACTAGTATTAACTTTTTACTTTTGGAAGATTTGGAAGTTTGTGTAAAATGTAATTCTAGAAAATGGGCCAGTCTAGTAAATAAAAACCAGTAAAATTATGTTTAATTATTATCATTCCAGTTAGATAATAATTGTTTTCATACCACACAATAATAAAATTAAAGCATTTTACTCATCATAATATTTGGCAACTGTTTGAGTTAGTCTTATTATTCTGAATTACCTCAAATTGGTTGGTGGTTGTATTCGATTTAGAACTGAATACGTTTCTTTTTTTGTATTTTTATGTTTTTTTTTCAGTTTTCTTCTCGCCCGTTTCTATTCCTGTCTAGCTCGTTTCTTGTTTCTTGAACAATTTTTTTTTATTTCTCTTTGTTACGGTGATATTCCTTCCAAAATATTGGGGTAATGGCTATGGGTACTTTTTCCTTTACATCCTTTTATATCCCATGTTTTATAAAATTGGTACCAATGCTTGTTCTGACTTTATATCAGTTTCCTAATACAATGGGTTTTATTTAAACCAATTTTAAATCAAAATCAAGATTGCGCATTTGGTTGATAGATTTGTTTACCAATTAGTGAAATTCTTAACCTGAGTTTATGTCAAGCAATGTCACAGGTATTTAATAAATAAGTATAATATTTCTATAAATTTCAAATCCGCTGTATCTCCAAAAATTAGTATCATCATACCCTTCATCCATTAACAATTTTAGTTTAAAATAATCTAATGAACATTCTGCAGTTGTGTAATTTATCATAGAGATATAAAAATAGTTAAAAACAATACAAATTAAAAAAGTTGTTGGACTGGTGGATTGTTGGCTTTTCCATGGAATAACAATATCCTGAAACTACAAACGAAACGTCGAAACGAGTTTCATAAACATTCGAAAAGGCTTTACATAAAAATGTTAAACTGCATCATGAATTTTAATTAGAAATTGGGCTTAACGAGCATACTTTTCAATTTGTCGAGATATAACGAAATTACATTTGGCGGTTTCCGAAACAAAAGGGATCCGATTTGAACTCCTTTCACTAATTATATCGTTTGGAATAAAAAGCAATACGAGCAATGGGAAATAATTAAGTCGGTGTAATCAAGAGTCATATCTAAGGGAGAATCGGGGAGTTTCGTTTTAACGGTTTAAGTAAACGTGAAATAATAACTTTCCATTGTTTTACACCAGTTTTTGATGCCCTCACTTAATTAGCGCTTTACTATACTTAAGAGAGAGATCTTAATAAAGAAGTAGATTTATTTTACTTAAGGTTTATTAAAAAAAAGTATTTCTTCAGTCCTTAAATTAATAACAATAAATTATAGCATAATTTTGACAAAAAGTTTACTAGATTCGGCATTAAATTTCTACCACCCTGTATAAAATTAAGTAATTTTGAAATTATGGCAGGAAAGTTTAGAGTTTTAGTTATGTCCCCTATAAATTTTATCGCTCTATTTTTATTATTGTAAAATACACATCTTTTTGAATTAGTCACTAAGAAAATTAAATATATCAAAAACGGTTACCTTTAAGATTAGAAAACCTTCATGAAAGTTCACATAAAAATTGATGTACAATCCCAAACTGCAATAATATACAGGGTGTTCCATTTAAAATGACGAAAATTACGTCAAATTCCGATACAACCGGAAGCGTTAAGTGAACGCCATTATTTCAGTTGAGAAGGGCATGCCCAAATTTTCAAAATTAAAACCGATGTATTTGAAGGAAACATAAATTTACATTCCTTTGTAACAATTTCTTAAAACCACACAATTGGTTGAGAGAAACAATTAAAAAATGTTAGCAGTAAATCTCTTGAACCAACCACGAACTTTTTAAATGAAAGAACGATTAAAGGTGGAACCAGACTAAACATCGACGTTCGAGGTTTATTTCACTGCGGGTTTGTAATTTAGGCTCTAACTCCAACTTAAATCCCCTGAATACGTTACATGAGGTGTTGGCAAAAGGAATTTTAATATCACTTCGGCATTAAGTAAACCTCCATTTTACTCACTAATTTTGCCCACATCGGACGCAAGGCATTAATAGGCTTTAATGTTATTCCACATTCTGATACAATGGGAACGTAAGTAAAATCTGGAAACATATTCCTAATATCATATCATTCATCAATAAGATTTACTATCTTTTATAGTATATGTGTATTATTAGTGGATTAGGAAGTGGTTTTTATTACTTTATCCACAATCACCTTATAGTTGGAGTTTTATCCACACATATGAACCGTCTAAAGTGATACTTGATTCACTAGTGGAATAAAGTAACTTTATTTCACTAGTAGAACAATGAAAAAATAATAAACTTGCAATAAATCAAATTTAATTTATTTAGTTATTAACATTAACTTTTACATTTATAGTAATAGACATTTCGTTTTTTGTTTTATCACATTTAACTTCCTTTCCGTTAATAACAACCCTTGTAGCATCCTTGCCATCATTTTCGGAACGCATAACATCTGCCGAAGTTTGTGAAGAATTTGCACAAGTTACGGATGTCTCTTCTTCTAAGAACCAGCTGTATTTTCCTTGGATTTTCCTTGCAATATCAAGTTTGTTAGATATAGACTCATCAACATATATAGGAGCTCTTCCATCCACATGCCCTTTCATAGTTGTAAGATCAGCACCTCTACTGGTCAATAAAGTTGTTGAAGTGCGCCTCATACAATGGTCAGTATATGCTTCTGGATTTGCGGTATTCAGGAATGAAGCAATTATTGAGGGTACCTTCGTCAATTTTGATTTCAACAGGCTGAGAAGTACATTTTTTATTGATGTATCTTAAAAAGAATCTGTCTTGTGTTAGGCGAATTGGGCGCAGAGAAATATATTTTCTGCATATTTCAACAGCGTTCACGCAAAATCCTTCTTCTATAATTGTAAATTTTCTTGAAACAAGTAGGTAACTGCCAACTCTGTACGTCACTAATTTTCAAATGTGTCAATTGGCATCATCGACAAGCACCAGAAACCTCCATTATTAGTGCAACCTAAAATAAATCAAAGTTCATTATATACCTAACAACATGTAAAAGTAAAGATATATTACCTTAATCATTAAATATTTTTTATCGGAAGCCCCAGTAAAACATTCTTCAATATGTGCTCTTTCCAATACTGCAATACTTGCTTTTATTATCTCGAATTCACTCTTCAAATGAGCAGAAAGCTTGTTATATTTTCCAATATCTATATTTGTAAACCTCTATAGTAGCCTTCAACATCGAATACTTTGACCACATAGATGATATTGCATATTTTCTTCAAATTTAAAAAATACTTCTCCGGTTATTGTCATTACTCTCCGTTTTCCCTCCATTTTTTAAATTCGGCGAACACTTTTTCGTAATGTTCCCTGGATTTCGCTGGCAGTAAATGTAAATATGCTTCTTGAGCTTCTTCAAAAACAGCCACAGGAACACAATTACTTTCTTGCATTTTTACCAAATTTAGATAGAACTATTTATTACATAATAATAAACAACGTACGGTAGCAACTAATAGGTATAACAAAACCTATCACGTTTCATTGAGTACTAATAAGAAATATGTCCTGCGAATACTTTATTTATTAAATTCCAATAATTCTGATTCCAGAAGTATGATTGTGATGTGGTTATGGATAAAACGTATTGCATTCGTGTTTTAATTGCCTTTTATCCACTTAAGAATATTAAACTCTCGAAGTACGTTCTTGTTTTTAAACATTCTTGCCTGGATAAAATTCTATTCAAAACACTTATACAATAAACACATACCATAAGTTTATTGAACACATTCGGCTAGAGCGAATAAGACGTAAACGATTTAGGATAGCAATTCTCAAATACACTTCTG